GATTCCTGAGCAAAAGCGTTATACTATTCATAATTTTAACAAACCTGATAACCTCAAACAATACGAATTAGAAAAGCGTATTAACAAGGCATTAAATGTAATTATTAAACTTGAGGATATTTAGTTGAATAATTTATATTTTTCCTGTATGATCTTTTTGTTTATTTTAAAATAAATTTAGTATGAATCTAAATTTGGTCTGGATTTGGCATTCCAATATTGATACATGTGAGATTACGTAAGCAGATGTGACTCATTGATGATTGACCGTACAAATAGATACTGAAACGCCCAATTTCACGTTTCTCACCCTTTCGTTCGTGGTTTTATCAGAGAGATGGTAGAGAACACCTACATCTTAATATCTGAATAGGGTGAAGCATAGTCTCTTATGTAGAGATGAACACGATGTGTGGCAGTGAACGACACAAAGGATAACTATCTGTTTGTTGAAGCGTATTTACATCTATCTGGTTGACACAGGTGAAAAGTTTATTTTTTATCGCTTCAGCTAGTCGTTATTAAGTTTGGCCATTGCTTTCTACCTCGAGAGCGAACGAAAAACTTAGTGTTTGTATTTAAATGCACCTTGAGAAACGTCTCGAAAAACGGATGTGTTTAGGCTTTTTTCTACCATAGATGAGTAAAAAGTACTCTCAAATGTTAGACATCTCGGGCATACTACAACAATTTACCGGTTAAATTGTAAGGCTTATAACGCTGAGATGCGACTCGGTACACTGTTTTAGGCTTTTGGCAGCTGTATCTGAACTACAAAAGTCAAACTTTACATGAGTTTTACGATCTTGGTTATTGTTCATTTCATGGCTTGGGATCCGAACATAATCTCCCCAGTAATTTGGATTCATGTCCAAATTGATCGTTTGCTCTTGTTTTTTTAGAGTCGAGCGATATGTAAATTCCACGCGGTTTGACTCGGTCAACGTGTTTTTTACCATTAAAAACACGGCTAATAACATATCAACTTTATTAATAAAATACAAATTTAAACAGGATATCCATTACGATTATCAGTTTTTTTATCATGTTCTAATTTAAAATCTATTGCTTGTTTGGTTTTGAAATATTTTCATTTACATTTTTTATTTTCATACTATTGAAAAAATCCAGTATTTATCAAAAAAAATTCTATTATATCCTGATGTATTTGTATTAAATAATTTAGAATTTATAGCATTTAAATGGTGATTTGTTTCTCTCAAATTAAATTCTCGATTATCCAATCCATTTTAGTTAATATGATCAATCATCTTATACTCCGATTTAATAATATTATGGAAACGTAGACTTGTTTTTTTATTATTTTTATAAATATGTGTTAGAATATAATAAGTATTTCTATGTTTATATGAGCTCCAAGTGTAGTTTTTCAAATGCTTAAAGTGCTTATAATCCATAAGAAATGTGATATCGGGGTTCTGGGTTTTCACCTCAAGGCACAGCTTGTTATTGATCTTCACTGTACGATACTCGTTTAATTTCAATTTTGGTTTATCTGGATTAGTGATCTTGTTCCAGGTTAGAGCTGCTTCAAACGATAGAAACTTCGATTTCTAGTTCATTGTTGATCAATAAATTTCCTAATATAGAAATTTATATTTGGTAATTTTTAAGTTTATAAATATTGAATTTTGTATCTTAATGATAAATTTAAAAATGAAACGAAAGAGGATAGAATTTGAGAACAATGACAAGATAATTCACCCTATTTATCTTGTTTTTAACCACGTTTTCGATCCGTACACCTTTCAAAAATGCTCGCTGGTCTGCAAAACCTGGCAAAAAGTTCTTGACGAGCATCCTTTCTGGCGAAAGGTTGTCGAGGATTGCGGTCTCAAATCTCCAAAACCAAACTCGAGAAATACAAAACATACAAGTTGATATTCGTTAAAAACTTCAACAAAATATGCCCATGCTACAAGGGTTTGTTGAAGGAGCACGATTTTGTCTATGTTGTGAACTTCAAATTACATATCTTACAAGAGTATTGTTATTATAAATTACGTTACAAAGTCTACAAGGATAATTATGTTTATCGTAATCTTGTTAATTTTGTACTAGAAAAAATCTTAAACCTTATCAAAAAAAGTGATATATCAACACATTGTATCTATCTTTTTGGTTACGTTAGAAATTTAATCAGAAAAATTTATGAAAAGCATGATAAAATTGAAGAATATAAAAAAATTTGTGATTTTGTTAAAATAGATTTTATTAAGATAGTTGTTCGTAATTTGTATCGTATTATCGATAATAAGACATTGTATATTGAGAAGTTTGGAGGATATGTAACTATTGGAATTATACAATAGATAACAAGGCCGAGTATAAAGATCTGTAATATTCATGTATGAGATGCAGATTTAAACTTTATTTTACAATAAAAATATAAATATTTTTTTATAAAATGTTAATTTTAACTGTTCGTTTTTTAATAATAATAAAAAAATAAATAAATTGGTAATTTATTTATTTATTTTGTTGTTTTTTATCTTTATTAATTTTATTTTGTTGGTTTGTTTTAGTGAGGAAGGCTGGGGTTCGCTACCTGATAAGAAGACAATTATACAGGATTATTTCTTTGATCCGTTCGAAGGTTCTCTGGTGTTTTGTGAACTTTGTGGTAAAAATAATCATTATTATAAGAACTGTCGTTTTAAAAAACATTGTCAGGCATGTGGTTCGGATAAACATTTTTTTAGAAACTGTGTCTATAACAAGTGTACGTTTTGTGACTTTGTGCATTTGGGTCCCTGTAGAGAATTTATTTTTTGTAATATTTGTAAAAAGAACAATCACACTTCTAAGTGTTGTTTTTTTCGTAAAAAATAGATAAAATTTTATTTATTTTTTAATTAATAAATTATATTAACAATTTTTTTAAAAAAATACAAACAGCTAAAATATAAATAAGTTGAATTCTGATTGATAAATTAAATTTAATTATGCAATCTTAATGGAAATCGAAATTTACATCATTCGAAGTTATCACGAATTGGGGAAAATACAAAAATTCTAAGAATATCGCATGGTAAAGATTGATAACAAGATATACCTTGAAGTGAGAACTCAGAAACCTGAAATCACGTTTCTCACCGACTATAAGTACTTTGAACACTTAAAAAACCATACTTGGCATTCTTATAAGCATAAAAAATCAAATACATTTTATATAATAACAAATATTTATAAAAATAATAAAGAAAAAAGTATATTTTTTCATAATTTTATCAAACCAGAATATAAGATGATTGATCATATTAATAGAATAGGATTTGACAATCGTGAATGTAATTTAAAAGAAACAAATCACCATTTAAATACTATAAATTGTAAATTATCAAAAAGAAATAAGTCTGGATATAGTGGTATTTGTTACGATAAATATAATAAAGAGTAGAGATTTTTATGGTATGAAAATGGTAAACTTAAACATAAATCTTTTAAAGGGGATAAATATGATTTAGAAACAAAACAAAAATGTATTAATTTTAAGTTAAGTCATAATTTAAAAACTGGAAATAAAAACAGATATTGTATAGTTTAATTCTATTAAAGTATTTTTTTAATTTCTCTGAGTTATAAAAATTTTATGGTTACAGGCCCTAGCCGGCCTGAGGCTGGTACATACAGAAGGCAGCGTTAAAGGAAAATGCCATGACACGGTGTAACCGTGAAGTAAGTTTCTCCTTTAATGTCGACTGGCATACTTTTCTCGTCACTCAGATAGTGTTACGAGAAAAAGTCGGAAATTTGTTTAAAAATGTATAAACATCTTTTTATATTATATTAAAGGCTTTTTGAATTATAGATTTTATAGTTTTCCATAAGGGTAAATTAATATTAAGTTAAGATATTGAAGTAAATTAGTAAATGATTGGCTCAAAACAATAGAATCAGATATTACCCATTCGTCAATTAACATATTAAATTTGTTTTTTGATTTAATGTTAAAACTTGGTTTGAAATTGTAGTTTCAAGTATAAATGGAAGAAGCTATTTACTTATCAGTAGTTTGCTTGTATCCTAGCCTGCATATTGAGTGTCAAGATGTTTGCACAAGGTACTAGTTGCAATAGTTTGCTAAATATATTTTTTGCAAACATAAAAATTAAACTTTTATTGTTAGCTGTTTTTTGTGAAAAAAAAGGTTTAGCAGTAGAGGTGCTAGGTTTGGGTTTTTCT